GATTCCAATCAGCCCAATCCAGCCACAAGGAAGTAATTAGAGGTTTGCAGCCCGGCCAAGCAGCCTCGTGGGGAATCCAGCCGCAGATCTGCGGAATGGAGGGAGGGGAGAGGGCGGGGGAGGCTGAAGGACACGCCGAGCACCCTGCAGTCACTCCTCGGGGCTGGGTATGTGGGGCCAGCTCCAAGAGGGGGAGGCGAATCACCACCCCCCTGGTACCCCAGGCTGGCAGAGGGGGCAGCAGACCCTCAGTTTGCTCCCTCTGAGCTTGGCTGAGCATCCAGGGAAGAGCCAGGAATCGCCTGCACCGCAGCCAGCTGGATCTTTTTTATTTAGCAATTTTTGGGTCTTTCATATAACATTCAGGGAGGAAATACCAAACCCGTTTGCTCACTCTGAAGCTCTCAAAAATCTCTTTATCCACAACCTCAAAACCTTGGCCAGGAAGCAAAATTCCATTCTATTTGGTCTTGACAAACAAGAGATCGAAAATCAGGGCAAAGGCATGATGGAAGAGACAACTTGAGTCTCCTCTGAGTATCTAGAAACTGCCCCCCTGTCCCCTGCTTTGTCATTTCCCATTCCTCTCTGAATGTCCTGGGACACTATCTAGGTCACAGGCAGTCTTTCCTCCAGAAAATCAGTGCAAATAAGCTCCCAGAGAGGGATCTTCCTCCCACCTATGCCCCAAAGCACTGACATCTTCCAGGCTCTGGGTTCAGGAGCCCCTGGACCCTTCCTGTCCTCCTGACAGCAGAGCTCTCCAGGTAACCCTCACTCCTGCATGATCCCAAGGGTTTGGTGTAAGGACAGGGCTCGGGAGCACGGCAGCATTGGAGGGACTCCAGCTCTTGCAGGGGGCAAAGCTTCCCAGCACAGCCTCCAACCGCTCAGGGGTCACACCACGGTGGTACCCACTCACCTCCCCCTGTGCCAACCACAGCGGCAGGCTAAGGGTGAAAAACGAGCCGCGGGGTGGGAATGGGGATGGGATGGGATGGGAATGGGGATGGGGGGGGCTGCAGAGCCAGACTGATAGGATGAGAGAAACCACGACCCGCAGGAACCGCGCCGGGGGGGTACACGGGGACCCCGCGGGGCACCAGCGAGCCAGGCGACCCTGGCGAGGGGCAGGAGGGCTCGGGGGAACGAAGGGGGTCGAGCTTCCCCCCCAAAACCCCCCCGCAGCAGCGCGGAGCGGGAACGCGGCTGCTGTTGCGGGCGTGCGCGGGGGCGCGCCCACCGGGAATGCCGCAGTCCCGAGCCG